GCAATCAGACAACGAGGAGGCGAACAGTGCTTGATTGCGGGAACAATTACGGTCCCGTTATCTAATGCAAAACTTCTTACCTTCTTCTGTACCATTTTCACACCCACGAAATTAAGATCTTTTCTGCCATGGCTTGGAGAGCCTTTTGTATATGGCATTTGGGATCCTTCCAGCATTTGCACGACCTTGGGGTAGCATGAAATCTTGATTGTTAGCGTATATTTTTATATCTTTGGAGGCGAGAACGGGGGACCAAAAGATTTTTTCTTCTTTTGTAGATTTGATAGCACGAGATTTTTCTGAAGTGCAATCGTGTACAATCTCCCAATTAGGCGCTGGAAGTTACTTTAATACTCTTGCTTTTTCACTTGCGATTTTTCAGTCACATCTTTCGGTTCTCTTTTTTTCGGCTTCGTCTTTTAGGGTTATGATATGGGAACAAGATAAGACAAACTGAGATGATTGACATTAGACGATGATATGAAAAGATAAGATGAGATGAAGATCACTAGAAGAAATCTTTTTTCTCGAAAAAGATTAGGAATGAGTGGGTTGTTACTTTATTCACGTGGTTTCTGGGGCGAATTTTTTGATAGAAATGTGAAATGAGATGATTGAGATGATCAAATTTTGACGAGAAAACAGACAGCCATATGCGATCTAGAATGTGTTTTATAGATTGTGTGCTTGTGTGGTGGATTGAATTTGTCGACGTATCCTTCAGTCCACCGGTGGCCTCGTAAGTTATTTGAGCTTAGCGGTAGTAGTGTGTGCTCCTGTGGTCACTCGTAGCTTGGATTCTCCTTCCTCTCGTAACTTTATGTACGCATCGCCGTCGCCGTCATGTTTTGTCATTTTACATCACTCCCCTTCTCCTTGTTTATCGCATCACCATCTTAGTACCCTGTCTACAAAGTGTAGAGGGTGTATACTCTCGAACTTTGAGTCTAACTTTCTTTCTGCTTTTCCGTCCCCTTTCTTGGCTTTATATATCCATTCGAGGTTCAAGGGAAAGTAATCATTTGGCTTTGGCAAAACTGTGTTATTTGATCATTGAAAGAAATCTTGATGTTAATTGTAGCGGGTGCTTCCTCTGGTCCGGTCGGTTGATTCTTGTTTGTGCTTGTAAGGGGGGTGGGTTTGAGTTATCTTTCGTCATTGGGGTGAGGATGATGTCTTGAACGCTGACTGAACGAGAAGGTTTAGGTGAAAGCTAATAATTGGTAGTTACTATCTCAGTAGCGGGTTTGTTACATTAAATATTTTTGATCACAATTCAATAGGTAGTCATCCATCGCTGTATTCAAATTGAAATTCTCGTCGCTATCTTCCGCGACACCCTTCCTTTACCATTTTCAATCACAAGCTAAAGTCCTCTATCTCAGCCTCAATCAAATCTCTCGCCTCTTGATTCTAACCCTCGTTTCTTTATCCGGCAAACACACCGCACTGGTTTTCACCATCTTAGGAATCGTCCATTTACCCTTCTTCTCCCCTTTCTTCGCAACGGGTCCGATGTCCCAATACATAAGAATCCCAGCCACGAAAGCTAGACATTCTCGCTCGGCATATACGCGTCCTTTGCACATACTGGGTCCGCCACCATAGGGACGGATAGTTTGGGGGTCGACGGATGTGTTTCCTGTTTCATCCGTGGTGAGGAAACGCTCGGGGTTGAATTCGGTGGGGGAGGGGAAGTATGAGGGGTCGCGCATGTGAAGGTCGTGGGGGAGGGTAACGTATTCATTTTTGTGGAGCGTGTAGGTAGTTTTGTCAGTGTCCTTGCCGGATGATGCATCGGTGAGGGTGATGTCGTTTTCCAGTTTTCGAAGAGATACGGGTTGGGAAGATAATCGTGAGGCTTCTAGATAGGTGGATTTGAAAAGGGGACATTTCTTGGATAGATCTTCGTGAGAGAGGTGGATGTGTGGAGCTTCTGAAATAGAGCCGATTTTCTCGCCAGGGGTTACGGTTGCATAGGGGGAGATTTCGGCGCGGATTTTGTCGGCGAGCCCGGGGGTGGAGAGGATGTAAAGGAGGTGCCAGTAGACGATGAGGGTAGAGTTCACTATGAGAGCCCAGATAACCTAATGATAATGTTAGATAGTGACTTAAGAAGTGGCAGAGATGTGAATTTACAGAGATATCTCCACGCTCATTCGGTTCTAGGCCATGTTCTACCATAATGTCAGTTGTTATAAGGATAAAGTTCTCTGTAATCTTACTTCTAAACAGTTCATGTCTTTTTAGGATGAAGTCGCTAACGTCATCTAAATCACCCCATGAAGAGTCCATTTGCTTCCCATCTACTGAAGCATCAAGAGCCTCTTGAAATTTGGTCATACTTTGTTGAATTTGGGAGCGAGAATAATGAGCTCTAGCAACAGCAGGCCAAGGAGTGAACCATGGAAGGCCCATGATGAAATACATCATACCGCGATCCATTTCATAAATATCGTGCAGAACATGTGGGTTATTATCCAAAAATTCACGTCCGAAAAGAGATGGTACAGAAGCATGCCCAAGTATATCTCGTACCAAGGCCATAAGATCAACCTCCATTTCGTTGTTTGAAATGTACTCCGCATTGGCCCATTTCTCCCACGGATGTTGATCTATCTCACTGTCCATGAATGAAACCATCTGTGGAATTAGTCCTTCAAGATTGCGTATGGTTTTGTCCAGCATGCTACTTAGATATGGTTCTTTCATGAGATAAGTGAAAATAGACGTGTATTCCTTGTGACAATATTTAGCTTGGTGTAGTAATTAAAATGAAGCAGTCTTACCTCCCAGTTGTCCATATACACCTTCTTTGCCTTTTTGGGTAGTCCAAAAAACTAAGAGGTTTATTAGCAACACAAGCCATGCCAACTCATGGTTTTCAATTTTGTGATAGTAAAGTACCTACCTTCGTTGATAGATCCAACGCAACAGTCTTGAATGCAACATCTGATTCTCGTTTCTGTAGCACTCTAATACAACATTAGTGATCCTGGATATGAATGTGCCCTCGCTCATATGCTTACGCCTTTACCAAGTTTGGATTTGAGACTATAATGATCAGTTTTTGTATAGCTACTCGGAAAATGCAAGCGACTTACTGATATTATGGGTAGAACCTCCGAGATTAAGCGCAAATATACCTAGCTCAATATATCAGTACCTATGTAACGTTTAAAGATTGTATTGCAATGCTCTCAGGCATAAATTATGAGAGTCCAAAGACCTCCAAATTTATAAAATTCCCGCTTCGGGAAACGTTTTGGCCAAACTCACCATGGGCACTTTGGTCTCTATGCATTTATTAGCATCTATCCTATACAGCCATAATTCAGTATTCTAACTACCTTAATTCGCTAGCCAACTTCTCTCCATTCGTCAAACTATCTTTTCATCAGTCTCGAAATCCCACTACCCCTATACCTGTATGGCACGTGAGACGTACAATGCAACCACATGTCCCAACCCTGGCACCCAATAAGCCGGCATCCAAACCGATTTTCCATCCTTCCCCTTTTGCTTTTCCGACGGCCTCTCGCTCAGTAGTCTAGTTGCTACAATCAGAAGTGCCGGTGCTAAAGCGATACTAAGAACAATAGGCAACGGCACCGAACGAATAGTTGTGAGGGCATTTGTAATCAAACCTCCCGATTTCGAGGTGTCAATGGCATCGGTGGAATTCGTGAGGGGCTGATAGAAATCGTCCATGATGGAAGATAAACTATTGTTGAAAGATGAGGTTAATTGAGTAATATAATCATCACCTTACTTATTAGCTAGGATTTTTCGATGTGGTTGTCAGAGTCTATCGATGCCGCCAACAGTTTTTGTGGATGTGGTGTGGTTGCGGTGCTGGGATTGCACGATCCATATTCGCCAATGCACTACTTTTTGACCGGATGAGTCGAAGCTCCGTATATATCACAATACGATTCAAGGATAGGAATTTGAAGGGACAACATTTTATAAAGCCCAAGATTTTATTCTTTTTGCTTCCCTTTTTGAACGTCAACTCTAACACGCTCATTCGTCAATAATTACCTTTCCTGCATCAGGAAAATCTTTACATTTCCATTCATCATGGCTCCTCCCAAAACCCTCAATTTCATCACCGGCAACAAAAACAAACTTGTCGAGGTGAAAGCTATTTTGGGTGATACCATTGACCTCCAAAGTCAATCTCTCGACCTCGTTGAGATCCAAGGGACTATTGAGGAAATCTCCAGCGACAAATGTCGAAGAGCTGCAGAAATTGTATGTTTTCGTGTTCCCCAGCCTTGGGAGTGTTGCTAATATCGAATATAGATTCAAGGTCCAGTGCTAGTTGAGGATACATGTTTATGTTTCAATGCATTGAAGGAATTGCCTGGTCCATATATGTAAGATTCCCCGGTCAAGAATTACATTGAGAGTGTTCTGGTCACTAATAATAGACAGTAAATGGTTTATGGATAAACTAGGTCATGATGGACTGAATAATATGCTTGCTGGATTTTCAGATAAATCTGCACAAGCAGTGTGTACATTTGCCTATTCTGAAGGCCCGGGTCATGAACCTATTATCTTTCAAGGAAGAACGGACGTGAGTATCTTCCCATATTCCTGCGTGCCGTTGTATGGCTCTAACACTTCCCAGGGCAAGATCGTACCTGCAAGAGGTCCAGCTGCATTTGGTATGTTCTACTACACCACTAAAAAGACCTCTTTTTACTAATATTCCTTGACTCATAGGTTGGGATCCTATTTTCGAGTATGAAGGTCAAACGTAAGAACTCTTTCCTATCCATTTTGTGTTTTCATTCCATCATATCACATATGTATTGACTCCGCCCCCTTTAGATACGCCGAGATGGAGAAAGTTGAGAAGAACAAAATCTCTCATCGTTTCCGAGCACTCGAGAAATTGAAGACATGGCTGCAAGAAGAAGCATAGAGTCCAGTAAACAGAGGAAAAGGAATGGAGTGACAGATAGATAGTGCTCTCTGAAGCCCAAAAACACTTCAGGGACTGAGCAACAATAATCCATGCCTACAAAATATCACTGCTCATCCTCCGCGTGATCCTTCTTCCATTGTTTGACCCATGCCTCAACCCTCTCCACATTACTCTCCACCTCATCACTTGTGTCGCTCCGTAGCTCCACCACAATCTCCTCATCATAACTCTCTCTCGCTTCATCAAGTAAAACCTCCATAATTTCCGCATCTAGATTCTCTTGTAGTTTGGCTTCTGGATAATTTCTATATTTGGACTAGAGTCAGCTTTCTCGACCATCGCTCCCCATCGTTGCTACATTCTACATGCAGTCTCTATCCGCATAAATTTGGAGGAAACATACCTCGCCTTCAGCCGATCATACAACAGCGTCGAATCCACCCTCAACACAACCACTAAATCAATCCAACTTTTCGGAAATAGTTCGCAAGCATGCCAATCGATGATGTATCCGCCTTGCTTGACATCTTCTTCTATTTCATCCAGTAACTATAGATTCCCAATCAATTAGCCAGAATTCCCAATAAAGTCTCAATAGTCCATTGAAATGGATCTCCCGTCAAGCTCGCAAAAGAAATCAAACCAACCTTATCCTCATCCACAATCCATGTCTTCAATTCATCATCCCAGCCCTCATGACACCCCTTCTCCTTAACCACATCATTGACACTCAAATGTTTCAATCCGGTACTCTCAGCCAATTGTTCGCAATGGGTAGTTTTTCCCACACCAGGCGTGCCCGTTATTATAATGTTTGGCTGTGTGCGCATAATGACGAGTTTGTGAAATTGCGAACTTGGATGTGTTCGAGCTTGAGAGCTTGAGATTCAAGGATTACTTGACTTTCGCTGGCAGGTATCTCAAAAGGTATTCGAATAAACAGAGTGATGTGCCCTTGAGTCTTGGAAGATTCGGTTTGGAAGTATTTATGACAGAGTCTCGTATTTCAAATTGTGCAGAATGCGACTTGATGATGTTTGCGCTGGAGAATTGGGGAAAGCTTGTGATACCTCCGCGATACTGTTTTTCTCTTGGCATCAACTTTTTGGAAAAAAAATCTTATCGCAAGAAGCGGGGGCTTATCAGCACGTGCCATTGGCGGGGAGAGATCGGGATGGCTCGATGGGTACTGAAGCTTAAAATAGATAAGGGGTAGGTGGGATTTCTGCGGGAGTACTAGGAAGTAGCTTCGAGTGCGCTTTAATGAAGTCTAAAGAGCTTGCAAGTGGATTTTGTACTGATTTTGTAATGTCATTACTATTGTCATGATTTGAACATTGCGATAAATAGTCAGGTCATCATTTGTGGTTGAATTTCTTATTGGAATATTCTGCATGTAGTTTGCCGTTGAGAAATCATGCGAAGCAAGCTGATCTGCTCAAATTATTATTTACTCGATGCAGGTATGAGTTTCGTTGATATCCAGGTCCACCAGGTTCACTATTCATAGACTATAACATCTCGCATTGCTGTTTGTTATTCTTATTCTTACTCCTCCGCTGTAGGCTTATACATGATTGTTGTGACATACTGCATTGCGAATTAGTACATAATATAAATTGGTAAAGACGCTCCCGTACCTTTCGCTTATATCTCGTAGTGGCAGAAACAGCAAGAACATTGTTCTTAATGCTGCTCGTAGCTAGATGATTGAGAACAGTATGGTTAGGCATAATGAGAACACTATTATCATCCTTCATCGGTGCATTGGCATTCAAGATAGGTTTTCCCAAAAATCCTGGGAGAGTAGGTGGAGGAGGCAATTTGTCTATAGCAGCAATTGCGTACCGGTATTCCCTGGAGTCTTCGGGTTTATCCATATCTATGAGGTATTGTGGAATCTCTGAAGTAAATTGACTCTGGGAGATTGCGCGCTTCATCTTGGAGACTGGCTTCGGCTTCGTCCTCTCTTCTGCAGGCACTGGCTCGGGCTGGGTGATTTCAGGCTTGGTTTCCGAACCTCCAATTGGTTCGCTAGGTATATTTACAGAACCCTCATCGGTAGGCAGGTCATCGGCGCTGACTTCGATGTAATTGACTAGATTGTTGCCAAAATCGACGGTGGTTGGAAGAAGTGCTGAGCATTTCATAATGCCATCTTGAATAAATCGAACGTGGTGAGTGCCGGGTCGTACATGAATTATCGCTTTCAAAAGTCCCGGCTCTCCTTCCCTGGGAAAAATTAGTGTACTGTAAAAACCTTGGAGTTCAAGGGGTTCATTGGAAAGACTAGAACTCACACTGCACTCAATCTTTGCTTCTTATTCCACTGAAATATGGTTCCAGTTACATAAACTTTCTCTCCACCTTCTCTCCACTCGAATAAGGTTGGCACCGTTGCCTTGGTCCGATCGATTTGAATTTCCTCGGCGTCCTCTTCGTCTATTGTCGTACTACTCAATGCCGAATTCCGTCTTGCAAGTGGTGGTTCATTGTCCAGAGCATCTATATCTATAGCTGGGGCGATCGAATCAGCCGGTGTGACTAGAGGCGACCCTGGGGTGTGCACTTCCTCCTCGATTGGCAGTGGAAGCCTCGGAGGTCGCGAAAGATGATACGACATATCTTGAATGGGGGGACCAGAAGGGTCGACAGATGTGGCTTGGGGGCTCGATAGGGAATGTGAATGGGATCTGGACGTTGCAGTGTCGTAATTGGAGGATGGCATGGGAACATCAACTGGCTTGGTGGGCTGATCCCTCACGGCGATCTTTTCTGTCTCTGGTTCATGTCTATGTGATTGCAGGCCTGCTTGTGGTTCTCTGTCATGCGCCGAAGGTGTATTCACTCCCGAATTCGGCAAAGTATTATTGAATTGTGCAGCAGGGTGTGATTGGGAATTGCGCGGGCGGTGTGTGACATTCGATCCGTGAGCCTGTGCAAGAGAAGGTTCTGCTCTCGCAGCAGTCCTATGCGTGTGTATCAAATTTCTTGGATCTCTGCGAGCTGAGGATGTTCTTGACGAGTCATTACTGTTGCTCGAAGGCGCGGGAGAATGCGAATGAGGTGTGGAAGCAGTTGGCCTCGTGTTGGTAGAGGGTGTATTTCCCATTATGACAATGGTCGTGTGATTCTAACCAACGCACTCAAAAAATGATTCCTTTCCGGGGGGTGAGAGCCCTTTAAAGGAAAAGAAAGACAGAGGGTCGAGGGGAACGGCCTGTGGAGCAAAGCTATCTCATGAGTTGTAAATAAGTATTTTTGGATTATGATTTGAAATGAATATATTGTTCCACGAATCTGGATGACCTGTGCTTGTTAAGGGGTATCTTAGAAATAATCGAAAATTGAGCTTGAGGGTTTAAATACAATAAATAAAATTGGGATGGTTCTTTCGTGGAAAAGATTCTGGAGTGAACCTTGGAAGTTGAATCCTTCCCTAAGGTTTGTTCCTTCAACCCCACAATCAGCTTTATTGAAGACCAACCCACAAAAATTGCGACGATGCTTTGAATCCTTGTTACACACTCACAGTAGCTGACTTGGTCTGTGCCTTCATCAAAGCTTCCAAGGTTCTTTCATTCTTCTGGTGTTCTATTGTTCTGTTGTTCTATTCCTCCATTCTTTCCTTCATCACACATCAGTACAGAGGTAGTCGTGGTATTACCTCAATGCTTGTAGTCCTATTCAATCAAACATCACTATCACCACTCATTTGCAGCAAATACATTCCCGTGAAGGCTTAAACTATGAGAATTTTCAAGAATATTCCGAGTTCTACTTATAAGCATTAGATCATACGACATAGGTGTATCGTAGAACAGATCTTATCCGTCAGCCTTGCATCTTCCTGTCATTTCAGACAACTCAGTCATTATCCGTTATGGAACTCTCAAATACAGCATGGCTGTCGATTATAGGAAGCACTTTTCATTACATTTCCCTGCCAGTTATTGTTATTTCCAACTGGCTATTGGCTATTCTTAGGATTGCGCTGGCCCCACTGCTACATTTGGGAAACTCTTTGGTTTCTGCTATGCTTCTTCCTCTGAAAGTAGTAGCGAAATTCGAGGCAAGCTTGATGCAATAACAAATTGATGGATTGTAGCTAATAGTTATTAGACCATCATCATATTCTTGGGGTCTGCAATCGTCATCGGCTTGATCACAGGTTCGTTGTTACGAGTTTCCTCCAGCATACTCGCATCACTGTTCAAATTGACATCAGGCCCCGAAGACACAGATCTTTCTGTGGCATCGGTACGCGCCGCACGAGAACATAAGAAAAACTCGAAACCAGATCCATTGAAATGGAAGGTCGACCCTTCTGTAGAGAAGAGATATTCCGGATGGCTGGAAAAGGACGGAGGCAGAAAGAAGGACGAGCACGGGCTATCGGCGCAGATCATAATTGAGGAAGATGATGACTCCGATGATGGATTTTAATCAGAGTAGGAGCAGCGATATGCAATTATGTGCAACCCCTCTTGAGATGACAGGATTAAGTTCTTGATATATTATTCAATCTCTCCATTTGACAAAGACTTGATCTGTTCTGAACCTCTGAGTACATGTGCTCTCTTCCAGTGGAGTCCTGAAGCCAGTTTCGTACGCCAAAAGTCCAGCCTGTGCTATCATTATACCATTATCGATGCAGAAACGTTCGTCGGTTGCGAAAACGCTTCCTCCCCTATCTCTTGCCATCAACCCCATCATTTCTTGTAGCCTCTCATTGCAACCTACGCCTCCCACGATGAGGACTTGGTTGCTCCCTACATGAGCCATAGCTCGTTCTGTGATCTCCACCAGCATCGCATACACAGTTTCCTGCAGGCTGAAACACAAATCTGACGTGGTAATAACTTCTCCAGTGATCGGGTCTTTTTGCTCTGGGTTCGCCTTGAGTTCCGCCGCGAGTATATCAATGCTTGCCAAGATTCCAGAGAACGAACAGTCCATTCCTTTGACTGCATATGGCAGATCTAGCAACACCTTTCCCTTCTTTGCTAATTGTTCGATATTGTATCCCGGTGCAGGGTCGTTGCTAATTTCCAGGGTCCTTGCGAAACGATCCAAACAGTTACCAACTGCAATATCTAACGCTTCTCCAAAAATTCGATATCGTTGCTCTGCATATGCAATCACCTGGGTATTTCCTCCGCTAACGTATAGAACGACCGGATTTTGTGCCCCAGTAATCTCTCGGCCCATTTCTATATGCCCGACGCAATGATTTACCCCTACCAACTCCTTACCCCACAACAGAGAGAGCATTCGCGCTGCGATAGCGACGCTCTGGAGAGGTGCACCCATGCCAGGGCCCTTTGTATAACATATACAGTCGATATCAGATACTTTTACTCCAGCTTGCGCCATAGCTTGCTTCACAAGTTTCACGACCCAAGATCGATGATGCTTCGCAGTATCTTTTGGTAGGAAACCTTCTCCTGGAGGCGAGACAAAGGTGTGTCGAATATTGGAAAGAATTTCGGCCGGTTTGCCTTTGGAAGGATGTGATATAATACCAACACCCAATTTATTAGCACTACCTTCAAGCCCTATAGCAATCATCTTCGCTGTTGGGTTCTATAAGTATCAACAGTAAAATATAAATCAAGGAGGGGTCGACGATGAAATGGATAAGACCAATGCCCACGGCCGCTAAATTTAACAAGGCTGAAAATCACGAACAGAACTAATCGATAAGGATTATGCTGAAAATAAGTAACGTAAGCGCAATATGTAGAATTGCTAGGTAACTTGATACTTTTAAAGATCTAGGTAGATTCACAACCAACATCTAGAACGGTTTAATCATATGTGCACAATTGAGAAAATTAATGCAATATATGTATGATACTACCTAGCACTTTTCATTCAAATGCAATCAATAACTACAAGAGTGCGAAATTTTTCCTGCTGACCTTGAAATGCCCCACATTCTGTCCCTATCAGGACTAGGGCCCCTTGATTTGCTCGGTTTATTTTAGCGACTTGTCGTTGGTGCGAGTTTAGAAATTACAGTACTCACTATTACTTGCGCCAATTCTGTTACTACATCACACACAACCACGCACATTATCTTTTCAGCAGCATAAGTCAGTGTACTGAAATTATGGACGTCGACGATTTTGAAGCTAGAACAGCAACTTTCTCAGCATGGCTCCAAGAAATGGGTATCCGGACTAATCCAAAGATGGCCTTGGTGGACCTCCGTCAAGAAGGTCGAGGGCGAGGTGTCGGTATGATCCATTCTTTCTTCACGTTTCTATCATTACTGTAGTATGGCATTGATCAAAGAGCTGCTACCTGCTTTCTGTTGATCTTTATGAAGTGATCCGAAGAGCATTTCTCGCTGACATGTAACAGTGGCCATAGAAGACATTGATGACGACGAAATTATCTTCAGCATCCCACGCAGTGCCGTGCTAAATGCTCAGAATGCGAAGCCCCTTGCGATTTCGAAACGACTTGCAGAGAAGATGCCGAGCTGGCTGGTAAGTAGTTATGAGCGTCTCAATGAGGTTCGAATTGATGATTGACTGGATTCCAGGCGCTCACCTCGATACTCATGGCGGAAGGACAAGTAGACGATTCTAAGTGGGCTCCATACCTCGCGATACTACCAGAGCAATTGAATAGCTTGGTGTTCTGGTCGGATAGCGAGCTCGCGGAATTGCAAGCCAGTGCAGTGGTGAAGAAAATCGGAAAACAGGGTGCTGAAGATATGTTCAAAACTTACATAACTCCGCAAGGCTTACAGCATTCTAGCACGGAGATGTGTCACAAAGTAGCTTCTGTCATCATGGCGTATGCATTCGACATACCAGATCCCTCCGATGGTCCAACCTCCGGTGGCAAAGGAGAAGAAGCGGCAGATGACCTGGTTTCCGATGATGGGGAAGATGAAAAAACCATATTATCTATGATTCCGCTGGCCGATATGCTCAACGCAGATGCAGACAGGAACAATGCCCGCTTGATCTGCGACAACGAGGAACTAGAGATGCGAGCAATCAAACCTATTGCGAAGGGGGAAGAGATATTCAATGAGTTCGTCTTTTCTTCAATCACAATTTTTGCTGCGTTTATGGTTTACTGACAGAGACTTTTAGTTATGGCCAGCTTCCCAGGTCTGATCTTTTAAGGAGATACGGTTATGTCACAGAAGGATACTCCACATACGATGTCGCTGAGATCTCAGCGGAACTCATCGTTTCCTTGTTCCGGAACGGCAAGGTTCATCCGTCGTTGTCAAAGCTCACCCAAGACAAGTTGAAAGTTCGTCTTGATTTGGCCGAAAGAGAAGGCATCTATGACGAGTCGTTTGATCTCGTTCACTCTAGTCCAGATGAGCCAAGTATACCAGATGAGCTTTTAGCGTTCCTGTATCTCTTGCTTGTTGACGAAAGTCATCTTAAAGCAATCTTGGACTCAGAGAGTAGTCTACCAAGCCGTTCCAAACTTACCACGGAGCTCGCAGGTCAGGTCCTAGCAATTTTGTTGCAAGCGAGAGAAAACGAGTACTCGACTACTCTTGAAGAGGACGAGGATCTTCTCAAGAATGCGAATCTCCCAATTCGAACCGCTATGGCGATTCAAGTACGCTCTGGAGAGAAGAAAGTGTTACGAGCAGCGATTCAAGAAGCAGGTACATTTTCGGGTGGCAACCATCGCATGAGGCTTTTGCCTTCAAAGGAGGGAACGATGAAAAATGCAAAGAGAAAGGGAGAGGACATGGAACAGCCAAAGAAAAAGGGACGTTCTAGGTAGAATGTCAATTCAATTGATGCCGAGAACACTTTGGTTGGTAGGTCACGAAGCTTTTCATTTTGCTCTGGGAGTGCTTTTGGAGGAGATTATTAATTGGGCGTCATATTTGACTCCTGTATAATCATTTCATAATGATCTTTTGCTCGATCATGAGCGCTAAAATACATATAGGTCGCCTAGATACCCTCCTTGGGTACTTTCGGACAAAACTTCTAATGACAACAAATCAACGCTCAGCCCTTTCCCTGGGTAACGCCCCTACCCCCATTGCCCGTTGAACCCTGCAGAAGTTGATTTACAAAGAAGCCTCACAATGGAGCCGCTTCTGGTAAAGTGACAACCCAGTTGTCGTGAAGAAGAAAATTCCTAATTACTATGTTGGATTGGAGGCCCGATTGCTCGGTTGTTACCAGGACTACCTCCAGTACCAGTCCTGTTCGATTGCGATTGATGTTGGAACATGCTTCGCCGATGTGCATCCGGATACAAATGACCAGAAAGAGGTATTGTGGATCTAAAACGTAGAGGGTTGGTATCATAAGGGTCAACCTCGTATACAGGCTGTCCGTCATCCTCATCCTCATCCTCGTCATATTTCCAACGATCAGATTTCCTCTCCATGCTTTTGCTGACAGCTGTAGACATTCCTCTCCGGTCTATCCACAACCGGCCACCTCGGCCAATTCGTCTCCGATATGCTGGTTGCGAACGACGATCGTCTTCTTCTGGAGGTGTACTATACCGCACGGTTACCGCGTCCGGTTTTTCTTGGCTCACTGGAGATGCTTGATCAAATGAGTCGGAGGTCACAGACGATGGTGGCGTCAGTAAATACTGACTGTATTGAGCTGTTGCTGGGCGAAAGCCCGTATTCGAGCTTTGTCCTTCAACTGGTAGGAGTGGTTCCCTTGTGCAGTCGATGAAGTTCTCATTCCACTTGATATGCTGTGCGGATTTCTCCTCGAGCTCTTTTTGCAGCATATTCTCCTTTTGGGCCAGCACATGACTTAACTGTACCATATCCATTTCAATTCCGCGACCATCAGGGCGAGGTGGAATACGAAGTGGAGCTGGCTGGCGCTGCACGTTTTGAAAGTCCATGGCCTTCCTCTTCTGTGGCTTCGAATTGTCAGTAGGATGTTCGAACTCTCTTCTAGTGGTCGAGATTATACATACCTTCTGATTGATGAGAAGTTCGTCATCAGGATCACTCTTGATGCCCAGCTTGATCTTGAGGCTCTTGATTTCACTACGAGATTCGAATACGGAACGTTCGCATTGCAAGAGTTTTTTCTTATAAGTTTCGCGTTCAGTCGCCATTTTAATCAGGTCCCTTGCTTCTTCCATTTCCTTTCTCAGTCTCCTAACTTTATCTGTGATTTGCATATCTCTTGCTCTGGTTTTCCTGGTAGCTCTGACTTCACGGCGCCGGAAGCAAACATATGGATCGCCTTCGTCTTGATCTTGGTGAGTTTCAAACTTCAGACTGGGCTGAATGCCATGGTTGTCACAGGCATGCCGTCGAGACTTCCAATATTCATACAATTCTTTCAGATGGCCAAATATCTTCTCCTCTCCTCGTTCCTTGATGACTTCTTTCATGGTCTCAAAACTCACCAATGTCTTGTCTATTGAGGCCCATGGGGTTTTATTTTCAGCAGTTTCTTCGAAAATTTCCATGAGTTTTTCAAAGTTATCTTCCGAGAGCTGCTGATTCGAAAGGGTTTTCCTTTTGTTATAATCTTTTAGAAAAATTTCATCTTCGGTAGTCATGTTATATTGGCAACCAGTACATTCTTCCACGGTCTGTGAAAAGCGGATATAGGTAGCAGGTTTGTCAAATTTCCTGGAGTATAATGATTCATAGTCAATGTCGGTACCTTCTTCTGCAGGAGGAGCCGGGATCTCTTGTGGTGCATCCTTATCACCCGAGGTGTGGCCTGCCAGAGCAGCTTGCAAATGGTATTCCTGTTTGAAACACCGGAGTCAGTACATGCAATATATCACGTGATTATGTAGTAAGATCGGGCACGTGACAACTAACATTTTCTTCAGCTTTTTCGACACCAGTCTCGACTTTATATTGACCTTGTAATGAATCATATTCGGCAGATTCTATTTGGTCTTCTCGTAGAATTTGTTGATGGGTGGATCTGTTGAGCTTCTTTTGGCGCACCACCCTGCCAGCCGGTTGTGTCCTCATGTTGATGATGGAATGACTCCGATATGTAAAATTAACGCGACAACGCAATTTGAACGCGTAAAAAATTCATAAAATAAAAAGCTGTTCATGACTGAATGCTTAATCCATTTTTTGAATTGAAATTCGATGTCAGTTGGAATATTTTGATGATAGAAAATTGTACCTTTGCCACGTTCCGACGTTCGTGATACAAGCAAATTTTTCCTGGTTCAATGTGTCAATAACTCTAATTTGGGTAATGTTGGCCTGATTTGGTTACTGTATAAGGCAACAACAAAGAACATTCGTGAACTATACTAGATTAAGGATCCTTGTCATATCAAACTTCTGACGATAGGAGATTTGACCCTATTGTGTTATATGGATAACTTCGATACCTTTCCCATATAACTTACAATACAATCTCCAAAACTCATTGACGATTGGGGGGAAATATAATACAAACTCTCAGGAAATAGGAGGTTAATACTTTAAATCGATAATCAGTCTGATTCGGAAGGAAAACAATACCTTAGTTTGGACATCATCGAATCTCGCATCTTACTTTCAGCCTCTCTCCCCGCCCTTCTAAGGAAACTTATCACCTAGCTACCTATCTAGTCTCCAGTCTTGCGACCAACCCCAATCACCTCCTTTACTTCCACAACCTTACCTACTACTTGGGTTTGCGACTATCTGTTTTACTGCGGCCACTTCCTTTACTCCATTCACCCTATTCTTCAAGCCTTTCTCTTGCGACCGCCTTTACTCCAACAGCTTACCTCCACCTCCTTTACTCGATTGGCCTTGCTACGAAAAGCAACTACCTACCTACCGCATACATAATCATATACCAGACAAATACAATCCGTCAATATGGGAAATACAAGTAGTGCAGTGTTGGAGAATATTGTACAAGGGTCAAACTGTGCGGATAATACATTCTTCTAAATTACTGTCTGATTGGTTATTGGGAGGATCGGCGCGCTAATTCTGGGTGCGAAACAGTTGATCGAGATGAGGTTGATAGATTAAGAAAACGTTTTATGAAGTTGGATAAGGTGCGCACTATTCTGTTTCCTCGGTCGGTGTACTCAGTGTGTTGGAAGTACTGCGAGTTATCTGTTGAACGTGTGGGGAGTGTATGGAACTCGAGAGGGCTAATGAAGTCTATGTCTATAGGATAATTCCGGTACTATTGAACGTGAGGAGTTCCTCAGTCTTCCGCAAATCTCGTCGAATCCTCTAGCTACCAGGTTGGTCTATCTTATTTCTCTTCATCTGCCGTCCACACGCAATGTTTAAAATGATGTACACATACTGATTAATCTCCCTGTTCCAGAATGATTGCCATATTCGATGAAGATGGAGGTGGAGATGTTGATTTTCAAGAATTCGTCAGTGGACTCAGCGCATTCAGCAGCAAAGGAAACAAGGAACAAAAACTTCGTTTTGCATTCAAGGTTTATGATATCGATCGTGATGGATACATAAGCAATGGAGAATTATTCATCGTTTTGAAGATGATGGTAGGAAGTAATTTGAAGGATCAACAGTTGCAACAGATTGTTGATAAAACAATTATGGAGGCAGACTTGGATAGGGATGGAAAGATTAGTTTCGAAGAATTCACAAAGATGGTGGAGAATACGGATGTTTCTATGAGCATGACTTTAGGTGAGTTTGGATGTTGAATCCGTTTTGGAGAAAATAGGTTGGTACTTGAGGGTGAAACTTACTAATGTGTGGTAGATCAATTTTGATTCGAAAGCATTGGGAAGGGAAGAAGATCAGTAATGTAGCGAGCAATGCATGTTTTCACACACTACACCCCAAATCAAAGTACAGTATGACATGCTCAGATGCAGGACATGATATGAGCAATGGTTGAAACTCTTGCAGCAGAACTAGGGATCTAGATGCATTGATATGGTGTGGTTTGTGGATTCTCGAGACACACATTTATACTCAACTCATTACAAGGAAATGATGATTTATTTACAAGATACTCCACCACGTTTCTTCATGTGCTCCAAGTGAAAGTGCTATTGTTGTCTAATAGTTTTGCGGACTAGTAGTCCATAATTACATATCAATAACTTGAACTTGATATCTGAATCAAACACCAATTTGAAGCTTCTCATCCCCTACTATCATAAAGTGCCATCTTATTGACTAGATTCTCATGAGTCAACCAATTTAGTTGACTCTTTACTGGTCTTGGAGCTGAGCGTTCAAAGTGTTCTTCTCGATCCAATCAAAATCTACTTCGTGGTCCAACTAAGCTTGGGGACAGCATGTATATACACGTGTAAGCTTACCACAAAAGTAACCCAACAGCTTTATATATGGATTATTGTTTTGTGCAATAAAGTTTACTCCATATCTAGATAGTCCTCTCTCTCGAGTCAGGCCACTTTATCAAATCATTCAAATGGTCCGCTGATATCTGCAGCCCCCTTACCGGCCCGCGGTCGGTCCGACTTATGAGATGTGCAACAAATTTTGTTCACTACTTGATCTTGATCACGAGGATGGAGTTTGTGGGCACACCTCGGGGTTTTGGTTTTGCTTGAAATCGCTTGGGTTTGTTATATATATCTAAGGTTCGGCTTTCTAACTTCTGAAATTTGGAGCGTTGATTAGCAAATGGGGGTTTGGGTGGAATTTTAAGAATGCGTTTGGAGCAAAGCATACAAGATCAAGTATGTTTACATGCTCTTTGATTCTCGACGTAAGGATTCACACGTGGGGGATGTGCTTAGAGCTAGGAGCATGAATGGGTAAGTGATGGCAGATCATGTGGGTTTATTGGATGTTTGATATCTCGGGCTTCTTCGACAAGAGTTCGCCGCCAATGACGCAGTCAAGAGATTGAACATGGTGGGATGCTCCATGCAAGGTGGGCTACCTATTCTTCGACTCTCCGACTTGCGATATTATCATTCGGAAGGGGTAAAATTTTGTTCGTCTAGTATGTATGGCTTGAAGTGTAGCAACAGCATACACTACAAAGACTCTCAAATATAGCACCACAAGCAATCCATTCTGTCACATACGACCATAGACTGAGGAGAATTGGGCATCCCGTCCGCTCTGCCATACACAAGCCTCAGATCGGTAGATTAGTAGTTGGGTGGGTGACCACCAGCGAATCCCTACTGTTGTATGTTTTTTAATCTTCTTTTTGAAGATTCGAATCTGGGGGGTCGTCAGGTTGGTTGGTGACGAGTCCTAGGTTCTGCGAACGGGAATGGGTCAATAGCGAAAGATGGAGGGACGCAAGTCACGCAACTCAGGGGACAGCCCATCCCTTTTGCCCTTTTAGTTGTTTTACTGGCATTACAGCCACCCTTCTAGATCACGTGTAAATGCGTAGTAGGTTAATAATTTAGATGAGAACCTCAGGGCTGCGAGCAAAAGAGATTTTCGGGAATTGGTGTAGTCTCCACCAACCTCTCCACCACATTACCTAAAATTCAATCTGGTGCACGAACACAAATGAAGTACCCCACTTCATCTTGTTGTCGCTTTCCTTTTCGATCTCAAGCCTTCAAAATGGCACTCTTGAGATGAATCTTCCCACGATCCTCGGTGCCAAAAAGAAAGAGGGCTTGGAACAACCAAATTGACAAAAGAATTATTTTATCTGCAGATGATGGGAATTGCCCGTTCTAGGAATCGAACCTAGGATCTCATCATTACTAGTGATGCGCTTTACCGCTAAGCCAAACGGGCATTGTTTGTTGTTGCAGGCCAGTTTCTGCAGGTATATATTTAATGTCCAAAATTTTGGAGAACAAGAGGGTTAGCGAATGTCTCGTTAGAGGCGGAGTTGGATAGATTGGCTTTGGATCTGGGACGAGATGGGAGAAAGTGAGACGTGTGTGAAATTCTGGGATGGAAAATGGTTTCTGGAGAATGGGGAAGAGGAGATGCGTGGGAGGGATCTGACTGTTTAATGTCTATAAAAATAGAGAGGTATAGATTTGAACTCTGGGAAGAGAGGTACGGGGTGGTACACAATATTGGGTAATGGAATGTTGAGGGGGAGGGGAAAGTAGAGGGGAATCTACTTATCGTACGTGGATAGGACCCCGTTACTCTTTTACTCTTTTACTATAAAGGTTTACCTTTATATAGTTTATATCCCTTGTCATCATGCATCTTCCCTAGCTTTCGTTGGGACTAGGAAGATTCAGAGCTTGATATATCGATATGATGTGTTATTGCGAGAAGCCGTATAGCGATACAACTGTATCTTGCAATAATAAATCTCGAATCCATGTTTGGCTTGCGGTGTGGAAGAAAAGTGTGCTGTTGTAGGCAGAGTTATAATAAAGGGGTTGAATGTCTAAAAGCAATTGGAAATTTGAAAATATTTTAAATTGAATTCAGTATCTCAAATGATCTGAGTATCTAAAAGCAATTAGAAATTTGAACATATTTTAATTATTTAATTGAATCCAATATCTTAAATGATTTGAGTATTCTAATTGGTTTGAAGGTTTAATAATCTTTGTTATCAAACTATAGTTCGAATTTTAATTATTGAACACTCTGATTCAACTTCACCTTTACCTTTACCTTCACCTTCACCTTCACCTTCACCTTCACCTTCACCTCCACCTCCACCTTATAGAGATTTTAACTATAAATGTAATCTAGAATTTGACTTTGCATTTATTGTGATTTACTGAGGGTTTCTGTTTTTATTATTGTAAAAAGGTAGGGGATTGCTGGCTGATGCGATTTAGGGATGAGCTTGAGGTTGAGTAGAATGATGATGTTTACCTACTACAAGGGGATCTGAATATGGACATGGATGAAGAAGATTATAGATAGATAGGGCTAGGAATTAAAATATAGGAGTATCAAGAAGGTATAGATGGAGTACTTGTTGTAAGATTTATCGCTTATGGATACTGAGTGAAATCACCAGTGAAATGCTATTTGATAGGTAATCATATCTCAACACTAGCAAAGCCATAGAATGTATCTATCATATTATCAAAGGAAGAGCTAGGTTATAATTACATACTTTGGTTACTCTGTTACTCTGAGAGAACGGTGGGAATGTCGGGTGTTGAGGGATGAGAGAGGTGGTGTGTATGAGTTTTGAATAGGGGGTTCGGAGGATGACAATTTTCACCTCGAACATGAAAGAAAGGTTATAGTGAGAGTATTCACCTCAATTCGATAGATTCATAGGAGGAAATCGTCAGAAGCTTTGAAGCATGGTGGTATATAAGATAGCTACATTTATATATATATATGTAGTAGAGATGTAGTATCCATTCTTATGGATTCTTTCGAGGGGTGGCATATTCACATTGGCAGGTATATATTGAGAACCTATCACTAAGATTCCTACAGAAGAATAGTGGGATACTGCACATTCATATTTGGAAGTATGTTGGAGAATCCATTCAAAGTCTGTTATACCTCACCAGATTGTATGGCAATGCGCGAGATAAAAACAAGTGTGAAGAGAGCACGGAAGAGAAGCAAGAACGAAACGAACGTGTACATGACAGACTGATTCATTATGGATTTGATATCTGAGCAGATGAGACGATGCACAGTTCTGCAACAGTTGAAAGGATCTCATATATGCTATGTTTGCAAGATTGACACGAGACTGAAGCACAAAGCTCACAGTCTCGAAAGTGACGCACGCAACGCGATGATCTGGACGTGATAGGATAGAATAGGATAGGATACGTGTACATTTCCCCCTCAGACCGATACTTGCTAATGCTGAATTCCCACACTCATTACATATGTGCGAACATTGTTCAACATGTGCGATATATTCAAAGCTACTACGTCAAATCATAGACACTTCAGAACTATCTCGACAAAACTGTCGTATCACTCACATCATAGACTTGGTTTCGTACATCATCGGCATCGGATTCATTGTCTACAAAGAGCTGTCCCGATGCAATGATCAAGAGTATAGCTCGGCGTGAACTAACTCGAGAAATTTAATCGTAGCCGTATCCTCTAGACAAGTTCATTCCAGATGAAATGCACTCATCAAGTTTTTCAAAAAAGGTGACAGCCCCAAAGTTTATGCCTAGCAAAACTTTCCTCGGGCTTGGAAATATCATCTCAGAGCGTCTGGCCTTGAAAAATCAAATCTTCTACGTATGTAGTTACGAGGACAGCTCAGCAGAAAATGATCTTTTGACTCCTATACAGAAATCAACTGAATCGAAATCGAAAATGTATGATGTGCTATCGAGTAATGTGATCTCGTATAGTATTAAAGTTTGTCAAATACTTCTCACGATCGGTAAAGTATCCACTCTTCCTTTTAGTTTTAATATACATCATTGAAAAAGCTATATTCAACGTATAATCCAGTCAGCAGACCAAACTTGTTTGCCAGAGTCATTGGTTGAAGCGTGAAAAGATACTAGGTAGATCTCGATGTTGTCGTACCCATATATTTATTACAATTGATCAATATGGAGATGAGCCAATCACCATGCCAGGAAGAACTGTCTTCAGGTCAAAGCACAAGAAATATCTTAAATAGAACAACATAGCGTGATGTCGAAAAATGCTTAATCTGGGTAAGTTGAGCGATTGGTTTCCATCTTACGCAGCATGTGTGGGGTGCTGCTGTGAATCTGCATTATGCATGCGGGCTGTGTTTGTTTCGCTGAAAAGGAGGGGTTAGGTTTTATGTATGATCATCCACCTCGTGATGGATGTGTGCTGGAATGTAATTTTTTTTCTTCAAATCAATGCT